TGTATCTACATGCACAGGAAAAAGAAAATACTGGATTACCATTTATGATAGGACAAAAGACAAACTGTACAAGATAGGAATAAATCTAATGAGAGATACAAAACCTCTCCACACAGGAAACTGCAGAATATTGCTGAGATTAAAGATTTAAATGGAGATGTACTTTCTCACATTGGAAGGAAGGATGCTGCTAAGATTTCTGAGCCAAGTGTGGGGTTGTGCATAGCTACAATCATAGCATGTGTGAAGCCGAGGCAGGAGAATCAGGAATTTAAGACCATTTTCAGCTACATAGTGAGTTTAGGGCCAACCTGGGACTTTGCCTCAGAAACAAGATAAAAAAAAAAATTGTTGTTTTGTTTTGTTGTTGTTGTTCTATTCAGGTTAATGTATAGAATCATTGTATTCCAATCAAAATCCTGTCCGTTTCTTTTTTGAAGAAATAGCAGGTTTGTTCTAAAATATGTATGGAAATATAAGAGATCTGGAAAAGAGATCCAAAGTGTTTTGAAAAGATCAGAATTGGAGAACTTGCCCTGCTTGGTGTTTTGTGCTGACTTTAATTATGAAGTTTACTGTGCAGCTGCACCAAACAGTGGCATAGAAGTAGGTGAGTCAGTCAGTACAACAGCCAGGCAGGCAGCAGAGAGATGACCACTGGTGCCCGGTCCACTCCCTTTGATTCAATTTTAAACTCTGGCCCATGGAGTGGAGCTGTCCACATATCTCAGTCTAGGAACTCTCTTACAGATGTGCCCAAGATTTGTTTCTGTGGCAGTCCCATCAAGCTGACAACGGAGATTGACCATCACAGCATCTTAGCATTGTATGACATACCGACTAATGGTTTGCTGAGGTGGAGACATCATTCCACGGGACCCATCTGCTGGAACTCTTGTCATTGCCCCTGCTGTGGATGTTGGTGCTGTTTCTCAGTGTTCAGTGACTGTGTTCAACACAGCACGGGCTCCTTTTCCACTGCCATGACCACATTGCCTAGTTTAGACAACCTGAGAGGAAAGTGTGGGCGCACTCGCTCCCTCCCTCCCTCCTCCCAGAGTTAGTGGATACAGTCAGTCCATGGTTTCTTTGCCCCAGAAGCCTGAGCAGAAACATCATGGTGGCAGGAGCCTGCAGTGGAGGAGAAGTGTTCTGCCACGGAGACCAGAAGCAGAGAGGGGAACGCCAGTGCTCACTTAGTTTTTCCTTTTCCTCTTCTAATTCCATCCAGGCCTCCAGCCAGTGCCATGGCACCTCCCACATTCGGGGTGGGTCTTCTGAGGTGTGTAGTTTCTTGGATACTTCAACCAGTCAGGTCGGGCAGGTGCACTCAGATACCAGTAAATGCTTAGTTAGGTACTGCCTATGACCCTGAAGGTGCTGCTTCTGCTTCCCATTTACAAGGCAAAAAGAAATGGAAAGTAAAAGTGAAACCAAAAGAAGGGAGAGAACAGCAATAAAATTACAATTGGAGGCAGTTGAGAGCCCCCCCCCCCCCCCAACCACAGGCAGGATGCAGTTCACTCCCAGGATTCAAGTTTGGTACCAAGAACGTTCTTTGCAATCAACAATGTGTGTTGTGTATATATCTAGATACACACACACACACACACACACACACACACACACACACACAGTTCTCTACATTCCACAAAGTTCCACAGCTTGGGATGGACACCTCACTCGCTGCCTGTAAAGCAGTGCCACCCCGCAAGGAGACTGTCAGCATTTGCGGCACTGCCTGGCCTGTGGTAAGCATTTGGGGAGGGTCCAAGCAGTACTTGAGGCACCAGCCATGCCTCTCAGGCTGGAAGAGCAGGAGCGGTTTAGAACCTGTTAGTAGTGATTTTGACCTCTCAGATGAAGGACCCATTGTTGTAGTTGACATTCAGGTAAACTGGATATGGTCAGTAAACATTTCCTGAATGTTGGATTGGACCGATGTTTCCCATGGAAACAATGTGAGGTAGTTTTAGGAGGGACACAGACATTTTACATCTTAATCGGTAGGTGTTTATTATAGAGCATGTTAGAAGAAAATACAAGGAAGCCTGTCAGGTAGAAAACAAAACAAAACAAAACAGACCAAAACAAAAATGGAGTGATTTAAGACCCACCACCTTGGGCAGGCCATGCCCGAGTGTTTGGAAGTTAAAGCAAGAGTGGATTAAATACAGACAGGGTCAGTGTTGTGTCTTTCCAAAGCTGAGATCTCTGTATCTTTGGATTTCAGCTTTGAATGGGAAGTTGGGGGTCTGCAGAGAAGAAGTGTTCTGGGGTTTTGTACGTGGGGGAGCACAGTGGAACTGGCAAGCAGAGTTGATGCTTAGCGTCATGGGGGGTATGGAGTTAACGGCTGCTGTTAGCATTGCAAGCATTTGCATCTACTGGATTGTCTTGGGTACCTGTGGGTTAGTTCCTAAGAAAATTGGGACAATCCTGCACATGGAATTTTCACGCTCAGTGCTCTTATGGAAAACTCTTGGTGCCCACTGGTTATTTTCTGAGGATAAAATCCTGAAGTGGGGTTGTTGGCTCATCATGTATGCATGTATCCCATGCTTATATTCCTGTTGGCACATCACCTTGCGGCACAGATGTGCCTGGACACTGCCTGGCAGCAGTGCGTGAGCACCCGCTTCCCTCTCCAAACCCAAGATCTGCTCAGAAATAGTTATGTTGCCAGTTTGAAAGAAGAAATAGCACTCTATTTGAGCTTTTATTTTGCCTTTAAGAATTATTGTTAAGGCTGAGTTTTTTATGTCTGTTAATTAGTCGTATTTCTTTTGTGAATTGTCTCCAAATATGTCTTTTCATCCATTTTTTTTTTCCTTCTAAGAATTTGGGGAAGTTTTCTCCCTAATTTCTAAGAGTTCTTTATTTTGTAAGGATGTAAGTGCTTTGCAATTTCTGGTATTTCTGGCTTCCGGTATTTCTCCTGGTTTAAACGTTGCCTTTTAGGATTGTCTGACAGTCAGGTTTAAGTGTCTCTTTTGGGAACGGCAACCATTAGATTCTGTGACATGCAGGTCTTTGCACTTTACTCCTTTGGAGGCTATTTATCCGTTGTGTGTCTCATGGTCTCTGTCAGGATTGCCATCAACTGTGCAGTTAGGCGCAGTAGACATTGGCATGGCTGGGCAGTTGCATCTGTAGCCCCCAGGCGCCTTTGTCAACCTACTATTTAAAGGCCATTGGACACAGACCTGAATTGCTGTTTGAAACTACGTTTTGATGCCTTCTGATCCAAGACTGATGAAAGACCTGATACTCAAACTCAATAGTGAGGGTCAGGACTTGAAAGAAACCTCAGAGAGTAAAATGGCACTGCCCCCCCCCCCCCGCCAGCCGCTTACTGTGGATTCATGCAACTGGAGACCAGTTAGCATCTCTTTGTGTAAATATACCAATTTGTTTAGTCAGTCTCAAATGGATGATCTGTAAATCCCAGAATTTGATGTTCCCTCCCTTCCCCCCTCCCTTCCTTCCTTCCTTCCTTCCTTCCTTCCTTCCTTCCAGCAGCCTTCTTTTCCTTCCTCACCTATACTGTATGTTGAAAAAACCCTAGTGTGCTTTGGCTGTTGTGTCTGGTCAAATGGCGAGGTCCTGATCTAACAACTCAGTTGAGAACATTCCCTTCCCCCTCCCTTAGTAAGGGCTAAAGAACCGTTCTTCAACTGAATACATGCCATTTGCCACTAGATGGCACTGTAAGACTCCCCTGAAAACTGTCAGCTAACCTTAACCCACAGTGAGAAGGTAGCGCACTACAACTGCACACACGCTTCAAAACTTCTGGGGAAGTCTTCACCCTTCCTAGGTGTGACACACGGTGGGATTTCCCATTTTACTCTCTCTTTCATATTAAAAAGCTGAAGATTTGCACACTGTCAGATTGAATATGATAGTGATGAGTCACATATCATTGAAAACCGTACTGTTTAATTTTTTGTTTTTATTTATTTTGTGGTGCTGGGATTGAATGTAGTGCCCTAGGCAAGAATGGTTCCACTGAGCTGTTTTGTTCTGTTTTACGTTTTTACTTTCTGAGACAGGATTTCACCATGTAGTCCCGGCTGGCCTGGATCTCACTGCATAGATCACGCTGGCCTCAAACTCTCAGAGATCCACTTGCCTTTGTCTCCAAGGTGTGCACCACCATGACTTGGTGTACTGCTGAGCTTTGTGCACTGTTTAGAGACTAACTCACTGTAGTCAAACTGTAGTGTGCTGCTTGCTTTGGACTGTGTAGACACATGCAGCAAGGCCTGGCCATTAGGGAGATTTTCCTGCTGCATTAAATACCTCCTGGTATCCGTACACACGCAAACACCAGTAAGAGACAAGCCTGCACAGAAAACATGTTTCCTGGTGTGGTAGCACACAACTGTAACCCGCTGCAACCCTTGGGAGGGTGAGGCAGGAGGGATGCATGTGCTTAAACCAGCCAGGATTGAGACCTTGTCGCAAAACTAAAAACAAATTAGAGAAAGAAGTCTTGTTGGTAGATACAAAGAAAAGATGCAGTGTCTGCCTTTCTTGGAGATGCACTGCCCACACCCTTAGGTCTTGGCTTAGTCATTAAGGAACATGGGGTTGGAGGTGTGAAGACTCAGGGTAGCAGTTAGGAAAACTGTTGCAGTTGATAAAATCCTGACGTAAGTGGCCCAAGTGTTTACTTAGTGAACAGATGATTTCAATTTCCTGTGAAGTGTGAGATGAGGTTACTTTTGTTTAGGGTTCTGGGAAAGAAGTTAGCAATATGAAGAAGAGAGATGAGTCGTGCGTGATTGAGGTGGGAAACGTAGTTGATGTCATGCGAGTGGGAAGACGCTAGGTGGTCCTTTTTAACGGGGTTGTGAGGCAGTCCTTGTGCATGTATTGGCCTTTTGAAGTCAGTGACTTTCTTCTGGATCCTCTGCCTGGTTCTTAGGAACTTGACAGTGGTCCCTAGGAATAAAAAAATCTGTGCTCACTGCCAATGCTTTCAACCTTTCTAGGTTTGCGGTGAGCATTGGCTACTGGAACGATCCATACATTGAGCATCTTGTGAGGCAGTCTAAAGAGAGGAAGGCCCCTGAAATTAGCCGAGGTAAGTGGCCATCTGTCTCCCCCCTGTCTCAGCACCAGGAGCCCTGTCTTACAGATTCATTCTTGGAGCACCTTCCAGGGTGGACTCTTTACAAAGAACAGGGAAGGTCTTAGTTCCCAGAGTCCTCACTAACATGACATACTATAAAAGTTTTTAGTCTCAGTCTGATTATAAAAATGGTGTTACTGAAATTTTGTCGTCTAATTTCCCCGTATAAGGATCTATTAGTGGTTGCAGTTGTGGCTCATTCATAGAGCGCTTGCTTAGCATGCACAAGTAGTTCAGGGGTTCAGTTCCTAAGCACTGAAATATACATACATGCACCCGCGTGCACACTCACATGTGTGCGCACACACACACTTAGCCTCTTTATAAGCCAGGGGTGGTGGGGCATGCCTGTATTTCCAGTACTCTGAAGGTTGAGGGAGGAAAATTGTGAATGTAAAGCTGTCTGGGCTACACAGTAAGAGCCTTTCTCAAGCACAAAACAAACAAATAAACAAAAAACCCAGAACAGCAAAACAAACACCAAACAGAACAAAAAGATCGTGTATGTTTTGCTGTGAGCTGTCTGTGTGAGGCTAAGCCTTTATGCCTTTTTTACTGTGTTTAGCAACAACTGTTAGGCTTTTAAGTAATTTCTTCAAGACAGAGACTGGGTTTACTTTTTGCCCCAGTGAAAAGTGATCATGTTATTATCTTAATTCATCTGTGGGCAGTGTGGGGGAGATCTCGGCCCCTCGAGGTGGGCCCTTGCAGAGCAGCGCAGAGAGGTCTGAACGCTGTGGGCTCTGAGGTAAGGCCATGCTAGTTTAATTGCCACTCTCTCCCATGGGCCATGGGCTTGAGGCACATTGGCCAGTGAGTGTTGCAGAGCCAGGAGCCTGGTTCTCTGATGGCTTTGTGGGGTAATGTGTGTTGTCCCGGAGTGACTGATAGCCTGTTTCTCTGGAACTGTCTTTAAGGGTATTTCGCTCGAGTTCACGGTGTCAGTCAGCTTATGAAAGCTTTTCTCCAGAAGACACAGTGTCATTGTCAGATTCTCAACCTTGGGGCTGGGATGGACACCACCTTCTGGAAGTTAAAGGTAATTAAAGGGTCTCCTACTACAGTCGCTCCAGATTAATCTGCTGAAGATGGCTTAAACGAGACATATTTAGAGAGGAGGCTGTCTCAGCGGAGAAGGCAGAGGCCTGAGTCCTGCCCCCGGGAGCCATATAAAAAGCTGGCCTAGTAGTTTGCGCTTGTGGTCCCTGCACTGCTGGGCTTGGGGCGGAGACAGGTGGCTCCTAAGCCAATGAGAAATCCCGTTTCAAACAAAAAGTAGAACCCACCTGACAGCAGTGACGCTCGCGGTGGCCCTCTGACTCCACCCGTCGTGGCCATGCACACACTTGCACATATCATGGTATATAAATCTAAAAAATGTATTAAAAATAGTTCAGTGGTCTGCTTTCTCACCCACTCCACCTGCCCAGGTGCCTCCCGCATTGCCTCTTAAGTTAGATTGTTTCTGATTGTTACTTTTTTAGAAAGATTTATTTATTATGTATACAGTGTACTGCCTGCATGTACGCCTAGAGGCCACATTACAGATGGTTGGGAGCCACCATGAGGTGCCTGGGAATTGAACTCAGGACCTTTGGAAGAGCAGCCAGTGCTCTTACCCTCTGAGGCATCATTCATCCCATCTGTTATTTTAAATTTTATTATACTAAAAATTCATGTATTTTCTTCTGTATGTGTTGGTATACATTGGGAAGGGAGAAATTCTGTTAGAGTCACTGAGAACAAATTATGAATTTGCAATTTTGGTAGTGACTAAGATCTGTTGGCCACATGTTGTCGTTCTGGGTAAGAGTCAGAGATCTCAATCTTAAGCTGTAAAGCCTGTTGTGGTCGTTCTGATTGGGTCTCTGGCTACCCTGTTGGGGTAGAGAGGCCGGTCTGATGGTACTCATTTCAGAAAACATGATTCTGCTAGTGCTCTGTCTTCACTGCTCAGCATGGTTTTTACTGTTGCCTGTCTTCTGTGTTCCATGCTCTTTTTGTAGGTTTGTGCAGATTTCCTGACTTCTCTGTGAAGCCAGTCATGTGTAGCAATATATATGTACATTTCCCCAGATTGCTTGTAAGTGTAAAACGAGATAAGTAAGAATGTATGTACATAACCCAACCTGCTGAGATCTTTGGTCCCTAATCAGCTCACCTGATAAGGACTTTGGTCGGCAAAGCTCCCAGCTTTTGTTTTATGTGAGAAACCAGTGCCCTTAGTGTGATCTTGGTGTTCCTGTTTGCTTCTGCATTCTTCTCTGGGATAAGATAACTGGTGTCCATGAGAACATTTCTGTGACAGAGCATTAGTGTGAGAGCTCTGTGAAGGGTTTTACAGATGAGGAAGAGGGTCGGGACAGAGTGTTTGCCAACATCCAACAACCAGTGGCTTTAGAATTAGGACACACATTGCAGTGAACCCAAGCCTTGTTTACACACAGTGCTGTGGTTGTTCAGGGAGGCCTTTTTGTTGACAGCTTTTTGGTAGGCCTCTTTTGTCTTTGTGATAGAGTGTTGCGTGGTTGCTGTAAGGGACTTGACTCTGTAGGGGTGTTGCTGTTGAGAATTCCCTCCACGGGACCCAAGATCCCTTTATTACATGGGTTGCTTTCTTCCTCCTTCCTGTAGATTACTTGGTAATTATTAAATCTGGGATTTTTATTTATGAACAAAGTTTACCTCTTCGAAGAAGAAAAATTGCCTGTCAAGTAGTAAGGAAAATGCCAGAAAGTTTGAAAGTCCTTTATGAAAATTTCATATTTTTATTGATCATCGTGTTGGTCTGAAGCACTTTTCTCTTATTTATTTATTTATTTACCTACCCACCTACCTATCTATCTATCTATTTATTTATTTTTTGAGGCAGAGTTTCTCTGTTTTGCCCTGGCTGCCCTGCAACTCACACTGTAGACCAGGCTTCAAACCCTTGAACTCACATAATGCCACCTGCCTCTGCCTCCCCAAGTGATGGGATTACAGGTGTATACCACCATGCCCAATGAAGCACTTTTTTCTTAAATCCAAAGTTCCTTTTTAAGGGTATTGTAGATATTTTCCTTGTTTGTCTTTTTATTTTTTAAAATTAATTTTTGTGTGTGGGTGTTTTGCTTACATACATGTTTGTGCACAAGCCAGAAGACAGCGTCAGATCCCCTGCAACTGGAGTTACAGATGGTTGTGAGCTGGCCTGTGGGTGCTAGAAGTTAAACCCATGGTCCTCTGGAAGAGCAGCCAGTGGTCTTAATCTCGAAGCTGTCTCTCTAGCTCCATGTTTGCCAGCTATAAGCTATATCCTAAATCTGGCCCACCACATGTTTTTTTAAATAAAGTTTTATTGGAACACTGTCACTTTCATTTGTTTGTATATTGTCTATATTTAGCAGCCATATGCTAGGATAACAACATAGTTAACTAGTTATAACAGAGACCATCTGGCCTGTGAAGGTTAAACTGTTTTCTGGCTCTTTACAGAAAAATTATAATTCTGTACTTCAGAGATGTATCTTTCTGTTAAAGCATAGGAAGAGCCTATCCTGCTCTTACTGTGTCACATGCCTTCCAGCTAAAAAGGCTGTATCTTCAGAGAGGAAGCTATTAGCATGGGCTTTCTGCTCCTTTGTGATCTCAGGGGCCCAAGATCCTTTGTTCAGCTGGGGTTTCCTGGAGACAGGATAGCTGGGACTGTCCCAGAAGGAATAAGGGATGAGAGGTGAAGCCCTTTAAGTCACCTCAGCTTCTTGATGTCTTTTGAGTCCTGTGGAAGGAAGCAGCATTGACTTTGGTAGTGTGTGAAGTGGTCAGCCGTGCTGACTTCCCTCTGCACCTTAGTGATGCTCTTCCGGGCTGCCCTGTGCAAGCCTGACACAGACTCGGGGCCTTCTGTACCAGCTCATTAACTGGGAGCTCTTCAGGCTTTCAGTGTTGCTGGCCCAGAGAATCCGAACATGAGATTGAAGCATGGCTTGCCACAGTTGTTTCCCCTCCGCTGGGAAGGAAGCTAGAAAGAGGACACCCCACCCTGTGGGGGAGGAAGGACAGTGTTGGCATTAAGTGTTTGCTCGCCTTGTTGTCTGTTGGAGTTGCAGATGACCTGTAACTTGTATCCCTTGAGTAAAGCAGTTTGTTCTGTTTTTGTGTTAGGCAAGTGCTCTACTGCTGAGCTCCATCTCTGGCTTCAAGTACAGTTCTTACATCCCTAGCAGTCTCACATCGTGAACAGTCTTTAGGGTTTCCTATAAAAGTGCTTCCGTATCCCCTGAACTCACATCCTTCAGGTGTCTTCAGGTTCCTTCTGCACAGCCCAGCTTTGCAGAGCACAAACCGTGAAGTGTGGACAGCCAAGGTTCCTGAGCCCAGGGTGTCAGGATGCTGTCCTTCCTCCCTCCCTTGTAAAGGAAGCCCCGGGCTTGGGATTCAGCAGAGGAGCCATCTCCATGTTGGGAGACTTCAGGGATTACTTTCCCATCAGCATGCAGTTATGGTGGGTCTGTCCCACTGGGTTGTCCTTACTGTGGCTGGTCCCTCCTCCACATTGCTCTTTATCTCTTGTAATGGTCTCCATGATTGGTTCTCATGTTTGTGGTTGCTCAAGGCAGAAAGATTCTCCTTTCCCTTGTTGCATCTGGGCCCAGTGAAGCTGTCACCAGATTCGGGATGTCAGTGGTCTCTTGCACTTCCTTTAAAGTATGCAGAGAGGTCTGTTTGTGGCATAGGCGTGTGGATGGCAGGGGGTGGCGAGAGCACTGTGGAGAAGGGCTGGGCCTTGCTTCCTACTGAATGTCAGCGGGAAGAGCTGCTGGAGGTAACACAGTATGCAGCAGAAGGACCAGGAAGGCGCGTTGTCTTCAGGGTGAGAGGTGACAGAGCTGAGGAGGAACAGGCAGATTTGAGGACAGCCAGCAGGGTTGAGTGAGTGAGGGGAGCACCATGAGGACGGAGAAGAGGCAGTTGCTTGGGGGGCGTCCCCACTCACTGTGCCTGGAGAAGCATAGTAGAAAAGCAGAGTAGAGCTGTGTGGGTGTGCACACGTGTGCATATGTACATGCGCATGTGTTTCTCTGTGTGTTTTCCACAGTTGTTTTACTGTAGTGCATAGTGAGAAATTGCCGTTGGATCCTGAGCTATTACGTACACTTCTCTACCTGTGTTTATAAGTAATAAAGGCACAGACATGGAATTTGCTATAGCCAGGCCCTTCTCATGGTGCCCGTAATGGATTAACTCATTAATCCTTCCAGCTGAGTATTAGCATTGTCTTCACTTAAAAATCACGTTTTGATTATATGTGTGTGGGTATTTGGCTCACATGTGTGTCTGTGTACCATGTATGTGCCTGAATAACATCAGGGGCCAGAAGAGATCCCCTGGAACTGAAGTTAAAGGTGTTTGTGAACTACCTAGTATGTGCTGGGAATCAAACCTGAGTCCTCTGGAAGAACAGACCACTGAGTCCTCCCTCCAGCTCTTATATTCACTTTTTTTTTGTTTGTTTGTTTGTTTTTGGTTTTGTTTTTGTTTTTGGTTTTGGTTTTTCAAGACAGGGTTTCTCTGTATAGACTTGGATGTCCTGGACTCGCTTTGTAGACCAAGTTTGGCCTCAAACTCACAGAGATCCACCTGCCTCTGCCTCCCCGAGTGCTGGGATTATAGGCGTGCACCACCACACTTGGCTTGTTTTTACTTTTTAAGTGATGATCTCTTAGTCCATTCAGATAAATGGTGGAGTAGGTTTCAAACCCTACTCTTCACCAGGGTTTGTTTAAGCAAGAAAATGATCCTAATTTGTGCATGTGATGCTGCTTCCTCATAATAGTTTTAGTCTGTCTGTCTTATCTAGCCCTTGTTTTTGTTTTTGTTTGTTTTGTTTTTTGACAGGGTTTCTTTGTGTAGCCTTGATTGTCTTGGAATAAGCTCTGTAGACCTGCCTGGCCTTGAACTCACAGAGATCTACCTCTGTTCCTACCCCCACCCCCAAGAAGTGGGGGTGCACCACCACTGCCCAGCTAGCTGTTTCATTCTAAGTGAAATCCCTAAAATGCTCGTCAGTGCAAATTCTGCATTGACTTCCTGATGGTCTCTGTTTCAGGTGCTTTTAGAAGAACACTGTATTCACTGTGTTTTGACAACTCACTCCTTCTCCCCCTCTACCCACCCTCAAGCAGTATAGACCTTACCTGGACATACACAGAGACCTTAGTTTTTCTTGGGTCTGTTCTCTTTTTATGCATGTATACGTGTGTGTGTTTGTGGTAGGGTGCATGTATGTGTTTGTATGTAAATGTGTGTGCATGTGTATACAAACACATATGAAGGCCAAAGGACAACCTTGGGTGTCATCCTTAGGAACACCACCCACCTCCTTTGAGACAGGGCTTCTCATTGGCTTAGAGCTCAGTAATTAGGCTAGACTTAACTGGCCAAAGAGCCCCTGGGGTCCTCCTGTCTCTGCCTTCTCAGCATTGGGATTGCAAACTCACACCACCATGCTTTGCATTCTGACATGAGCTTTAGGCGTTAAACTCAGGCTCTCACACTTGTAAAGTGAGCACTTCACTAACCAAGCTGTTTCCCAGCTTCTGTATTCACTCTTGCTCCTTTCAGACACATTGTTACTGAGGACCTTAGTAATTTGAAAAATGCCTTCTGGGGCTGAAGAGATGGCTTAACAATTAAGAGCACATGCTCTTGCAGAGGACCCAGGTTCAATTCTCAGCACCCACGTGGCACTTCACAACCATCTTTAATTCTACGGGACTTATTGACCCTTGAGGGCAGTAGGGCACACACATGCTACACAGTCATACACACAGGCTCAACAAACATCCGTACATACGAATAAAAATAAATAGTATACTTCTGACCACATGAGTCTCCTGACCTAATCCCAAAGTACCCTATTTTGGTTAGGCAAGCGATTGCTGCACTCAGCGACTATGTGAGTTAAGGAATGATTCCGTGTGGTTTTCTCCAGGATGAAGGTCTTCTCCCAAGTAAATATTTTGAAGTCGACTTTCCAATGATAGTCACGAGAAAGCTGCACACCATCAAGTAAGTGTGGCTTTGTTGGGGGACAGGATGCCAGTTGGTGGAGACTCAACTCTTGGTGTATTGGGTTGAATTTGCCAGACCTCAATGGAGAGCGGTGCCTTTTAGTCTCCCCTCTTACTCTGGCACCATCAGTCCAGCTTGCTTTGCAGGCTTCGGCATTCAGCGTATCTTCTTTTTTATTTTTATTTTATTTTATTTTTTGTTTTTTTTTCAATACAGGGTTCTCTGTGTAGCCATGGCTGTCCTAGACCAACTTGGTAGACCAGGCTGGCCTTGAACTCACAGAGATCCACCTGCCTCTGCCTCCCTGAGTGCTGGGATTACAAGAGTGCACCACCGTCCAGTTCAGTGTACCTTCTGTGTGACCCTCCTTACTCTGTAATGAAACTTCTCTGAATACTGAAAATTGGCCTATGCAGAGTAGAGTTGAATACTCTGAAAATTCTTGTGGTTTTTTTTAAGTATTTATTTATTATGTATACAATATCTGTATATGTGCCTTCACATGAGAAGAGGGCACCAGATCTCATTATAGATGGTTGAGAGTCACATGTGGTTACTGGGAATTGAACTTAGGACCCCTGGAAGAGCAGACAATGCCCTTAACCTCTGAGCCATCACTCCAGCCCCAATTCTTGTGTATTTTGATTACTGATTTATCCTGCGGTATAGACTAAAACCTGGCCCCGAATTCATGTAATAATTTCTTTCTGGATTTGAATATGTGGAATGCTATGTGAGCTGTTCTGCAGAGCTTGCAGAACTCTAGATGATGCACTTTTCTTTGCCTCTTGCTATCTTGAGTGCTTTGTGGACAGCTCACTCCTCAAGTAGACTTTGAACCTGAGTGCTCAGAATCCTCTTTGGAGATAAAGAATCTTCTGTGCTGAGCTTTGTCCTCCTCAAGGTCACCTGGCTAGCATGGGCAGAACTAAGATCTAAACCCTGACCTGAAAATCCTCTGTCAGGACTTCAGAGTTTTTGCTGTTTTTTTTTTACCCCTGCCCCACTGTAAGTAGTTATTTAAATAAAAGCCTATTATATTTTTTAAGTTCCAGACATTAAAACTTTGTTTATTCTTATATCTATTGTATCCCTATACATTGGGAGCATTGGTCAAGCTTTTCTGTGGTCTGTACTGTGAGTGTTGCAGTTTTTCTAAATATTAAGCACATTTCATATTAAATAGGCTTAAAAGGTGACAAATGCTGCCTCAGAACTGTGTGGTTCTGCTGAACTCACTAGCACTCTGGGTGAAGTGGGAGTGATCAGACCCTAGGTAAAGCTCAAGATGGTTTCCTGGAAAGAAAAACAGGTTTTACCTGCAAGTAGCCATGTGGTTCTCAGATTTCTGACTTTTTTCATTTGCTGGGTCACAGGAGTTATGTATGAATGTTCCCAGACTTTAAGAGATTTTTTCTTTGTATTCATATGACAAAGAACAGCCAGGATCATAAGGTACAATTTTGCTTGAGAATAAGCAAGAAGCTGGAGGTAGCTGGGAAATCCTAGAACATTTCAAAAATTTGTGTTAGTCTAATTTTAGCTATTTTTAAATTGAATTACTGTGTGATCAGTGTGATTTGAAGACCAAACACAGAGCAGTCCTAACCTGAAGCCTGTGTGGACTGAACTGCCACTGTGTGCCTAGGGCCAGATGTACATAGACTGAAAGAGTTCTGAAGTGGCCCTTGTTCTACACATTAGCAATTCACCTAAGTTCCCTCATCCATAATGTGAAATAAAAAATGCTCTAGAATCAAACATTTTCCACATCATGTCCAGTTGGGGAAGTGTACGGTAAAGTCTATGCAAATACTGCAGACTCTCAGATACCCCAAATCTGTACCACTTGTGGTCCCAAGAATTTTGGATAAGGGGTCCTCAATAGGTACACGCAGTTTGTGACGGATGCCTGCGTCTCGTCAGTAAATGCACTCATGTGCTAATTGACTCTCTTTCCTCTTTCCCTTCTCCTAGAAGCAAGCCACTTCTGTTCAGACCCATCATGGAGCTGCAACAAGAGGATCCTATTCACATGGGCAAGTAGCCTTTGAGCGTTACAGTGGGGACTGTAACAGTTTGCTTGTTTGAGACAGGCTCCTTCTTGACATAACTGCAGTCCATCGCTTGTGCTAACTTGCTTGGCTCCAGCCATTGGTATTGCTGCTCAGCAGCTTTCTTTTTTGGTAGTTCTAGGGATCAAACCTAGCCCCTTCTACATGCCAGTCAAGCCCTTTACCACTCAGCCACATTCCCAGTCCCCTATGTAGTTATACCTGTTTCTGACACACTCTCTCAGTGCTGAGCCTCCCAGATTGTGGTGTTCTGTCTTTTGTTTGCTTGTTTTAGATCTCTCCCAAAGTTTTTCATTGTGTTCGGTTGTAGTTGACAGAGAAGGTCAAGGGGTTTAACACCATAACGATGAGAAACCATGCTCTGAGAGAGGCCTTCTCCGATTGTCAACACAGTAGCCTTCCGGCACCCAAACAGACCTCCCTTTGTGTACAATTGCAGGGCTGCAGTCACGTTTCTTGTGTGTGGAGTGTTGCTAAAGTTACCGCAGAAGTCTGCATGGCTACTAGCCTTTGTTCCCCATGTGCTATTCCCCCTTCTGTAACGGTCGTCCATATCGTGGTTAATTGGTTTCGCGTCAGCATCTGTCATGAGCAGCCTGGCACTTTGCATCATTTTGATCAGCAGTGTGGAAATGTCTGAAGTAGAACCAACTCCCACTGTGCACACCGCCCACAGAGCATTACCGTGCTTGGATGTGTCCATTTTTCATCTTTCCTATTGGGTTATAAGCCCCATGAGGACAGGTTTATTGTTGGTTGGCTTTTGTTTTTCTTCAGGACTCTGCTGGGTAGCTTGGGTTGGCCTGGAACTTAGGTTTCTCTTGCCTACACCTGCTCAGTGCTGGGGTCACAGGCAGTGCCAGCATGCCCAGCGTAGACCACATCTTCTTGGTCAGTCTAGTATTCCCAGAATTGGTTCAGTACCCTCTACGTAGTGCTAATGAATTATCAGATGGATGGATACATGGGTAAATTAATCTTGCATGTGGGCAAGAAATCCATCCGAGATGGAGTCGCTTTTACCTTAAAACAAAACAAAAGCAAAAGCAAAGCTCAACTGTTCTAGGGAAATCTCTTGTCTAAAAAGAGCTTTTTGTAATCTTTAAAAATAATAGAGTAATCTTTCCCTGAAGAAGTGACAGGTTGAATTGGTTGAGTCCAGCTCCGAGCAGCATGCCTGTTGAAATGCTGACTTGAACATACCAACACTGTTGAGTCACTGCTTGCACATGTGTATGTGAGTGCTATTTATAGACCACGTAACGTTGCTCAGGTCTTCACTTTGCTCATGCCTATTCCTGAACTGCAGATGTAGGAGGCAGATGATCACAGCCTTTATCAGTTGCCCTTTGCTCAGTAACAAACCACTGTGAACCATGTTGCCCAGAGCAACTGCCATCTGTTAAGCTCACAGAGTGACTTCTCTCTGTAGGTGGGTTCATTTGGGTAGAATTTTTCAGCTGGGCTCTTGTGTTTGCCAAGGCCTCCTGTGTGTTCCTAGGCATTGAGCTAGGTCAGGCTGACCCTATCATTTTAAAATTAGTGCCTTCAAGGTCTCAGCAACTCCACAGTACTCTAGTCCATAAGACATCTTCCACACTTCAGTTTATTAATGAGTTGGGTTCAAACATCTTAAATCTTAAGTATATATGTTATAGCAATTTATTAGTCATTTGAAAGTCAACAGGTAAGTTGGACAAGCACTATTTATTCATTCATGCATTTAGACAAGTCTTGCTATACAACCAAGATTTCGTTCAAGTTTTAACCCTTCACCCTCAGCCTTCTAAATGCTAGGATTCCGGATGTGCACCACTGCTTTAGGCGTGACTATTTTGCTCTTTTTGTTGTTGTTGTTTTGTTTTTTGAAACAGGGTTTCTCCATGTGACAGCCCTGGCTATCCTGGCACTCGATTTGTAGACCAGGCTGACCTCAAACTCTGAAGAAATCTACCTGCCTCTGTCTCCTGAGTGCTGGGATCAAAGGCGTGTACCACCACCAGCACGCCCAGCTAACTTTTTCATTCTTTAAAAACTGCTGTTACTAATGAGACCTGTGTGCCTGGGTACCTCACAGTGTCATCTTGGAATCAGGCTGGGTACTGCCTGTGTCCACATTGACATTCACAGTTTCTGCTTTTCATTCATGGCATACAAGAGCTCGACTTCCCAGAGGGATGATAACATTGGAGGAGTTGAAAGATGTACTGTTGAAGCTGCAGTGTGCCTGACTGAGTTAGTACCTGTCTCCTGCAGAAATTCAAACTGCTTTGCTTCATCCCTGTGAATTTGCTATGCCACCCAGGCCATGTCAGTACACATTTGAGAACCCCAAACTTACCAGTTTAACATCTCAGTACTAAATATAATCATTTAAGATCAGCGTTGTCTACATTTTATACTTAAAAGAAAGGTGGTCATGTGGGATGTTACTTGCCCAGAGCTACAAGGCTGAAAGACGCTTACGTTGAAATGTGACCATGTACTACAAATTCTCTTCAAAGAAGGTTTTGCTTTTGTTTTTAGTTTGTCAGCTGCATAGACCACAATGTGTTATGACTCCTCCATCACAGAGTGTTTAGGACCACTTAAAACTTTGTTTGTTTTAAGGTGAGTTTTGCCATGTTGTCCAAGTTGGTGTCAAATTCCAGGGTTCAAGCAGCCCTTTTGCCTCAGCCTCCTGAGTACCCGGGACTGGGTGTTATTTAAGGACTTTTAACAATTTACTATTGAGCAGTAGCTCTTAAGTTTTAGTGACTCTCTTTATGTCAGGGCCTCTTTGTCTTCATTACTGACGTCTGGGGTCTGCTGTGGGGTGGCCTGCTATCATGGGGTGCTTACAGCGCATCCCTCAGTCGTGATGAGCAAATGTCTTCTTGCTCTGTTCTCCTGAGTGGTGAAGTTGCCCCTGGCTGAGAACCACTACTTAAACTGAAGAACGGCCAGGCTTATAGAGGGGGGATTTTCATAATTGTCTCTTCACTTTGGGCATGTATAAGCTCGTTCTTAATTGTTAAGCCTTATTAGTTGTATTTTCAAAGCTTCTCCTTTGTCAATCCTCTTAGCAACAAGCTCTCTAAAGGAGTGTGAATTACAGAACTACCAGAAGCAATGCATACAATCCCCCTCGCCCCCAAGACAGAGTTTCAGGAAGCCCAGGCTGACCCAAACTTGCTATGTAACCAAGGCTGTCCTTCAGCTCTCCATCCTCCTGCCTCTACCTCCCAGTGCTAGGATTTCAGGCTTGCACTTCCTTACCCAATACATGGACTTAGTCCTTCCTGTCACCTCTGGGGAGCACTCCAGTATGTATGGCTTTCTGCTTCTTCCAGTGGTCTCTGGACAGTGCTGGATTTTATAAAAGTGTCTGCTTTCTCAGAATAATAAAACTTCTTTGGAACTTGCTCCGAGCTCATGTCTCCCACATGTCCATTGTGTTCCCTGTGGAGAGGCTTCCCCTGAGGACAGACAATGGACCTTGTGTATTTAAACAACTGGAACAGCTTTGACTTAGGGGCAACTGTGTGTGGTGCTGATGTGTGCTGCTGAGATCCTCAGATTCTGTCACATCAAAGGCTCGAGGTCATGTTGTCCAGGGCTTTCCTCCTGTTGTGTGGAGTTCCTCCTTGATACAGGCCAGGCCCAGGAGCCTTACATCACTATGTGTGTTCACATCTGCTGTCCTGTGCCCTGTTTGCTTTTTGCTGTTTTGATACTGGTCCTAGTAAGGTGTGTCTTTCGCAATCCACTTGGTTTCCTCTTCACCTCTGCATTCCATTTTATTAGAGAACTACATGCTTCAAAACTCTAGTGTGTCTTCCAGGCTTGGTCAGGAATGGAGAAACTAATCCAAGACACACTCATGATCAGTGCATTGTTTTTAAGAAGGTACACAGGCACATGGGAATTGTTTGTTTCTGTTATAGGCCAGACAAGTACTTTTGTATTCTTGATATTATTTTCTTGATCCAGCATTGCAGTACCCTGGGGTATCTTTGGGTTTCCTATTTGTTCTGTATTGTTTTCCTGACATCTATAGGGCTCCCAGAAGGTGTTATTTTCTTTCAGTGTATTTAAATCAGCCAAATGGGCTGATGAAGATGATAAGGGGCCCTCTGTACATGCTATAGTTTTGTTTTATTTATTTTTTTCTCTAGTCCTGGGGATTGAATACAGGGTTTGATATGTGCTAGCATGGCACTGTGCCATTTTCAACACCTTTTGTTAAGGACTCTCAGAGCCAGAAGAGTTTGAATCGGCAGCAGTGGGTCAGGATGACTGCTGTTTGTCACCTACCCACATTTTCTCTACCACTGAGGAAATAGTAAATAAGGCCTGTGGTAGAAAGGTAATTGACCCAGGCATGGTGACACACACCTGTCACCCCAGCACTCTGCCAGTGGGAGGGTTACCGGGAGTACAAGGCCACGCTGAGCTAACCAGCAGAGGCCCAGCTTAAAAAAATAAAGAAAAACCAGTCATTCCTTAATTGAAAGTTTCTAAGGACGCACCAAGATATCATTGACGGCACTGATGGCCATCAAAGGCAGTGTCATTAAATTCATATCCAGACTGACAACCTCAGAGCCACCTGGGAATGCGCTACAGGTGTCTACTGTGGGAAGGTCTACGCAGTTACAGTCTGGGCACAGCCCTCAAGGGTGGCTGTGCTGGCTCGCAAACCTGAGAGCCACCACAGACACCATCCCATCTCACTCTGGCACATCTAAAAATTCATGTTTTTACTCATTTTGTAAATGTTTCACTGCACAAACTACTTTCTTTTAAACAAAACATATTCCAAATGGTATAGAGTTTGGAGGACCACCCACCAGTTGGTACTGGTATTCAGACAGGCTTAGTCTTTGGCTTTCTAATCCCACTCATCCCTCTGCCTTGAAGAAGTGACTGCCAGGTCCCTGTGTATGGACCAGGTTGCTCACTGCAGTGTCTCAAGTGGGGACAATCTATCCAGTAGGAAGGGACTGGCTGAATACAGGTGTTTTTGTTTGGCAGTCCCATAGGTCAAGTAGTGAGGGATTGTGTTCCCCTCTTAGTAGCATGCTCGGAAATCGATGTGGAAAATGGCGCCCTGAGCTGGGCATAGTGGTGCAGGTCTGTAGACTCAGCCGGACAAGCTAAGGCTGCAAGAGTCAGTCTGAGCCACATAGTCAGACCTCATTACAAGAAAACAAGTCAAAATAAAGAGGATACCTTTGATGCTGTTATTAGGTAGGAAAAGCAGTTTGTAAAACAGGTGTTGAGTGTTGAGTGGGCCTATTTTCTGAAACACCTGTGTGTGAGAGAGAAGTTTTTTTACTCACTACTGGACTTAAACATAAAGGAAAAAAGCTACAATGTTATACTGATAACTTTAGAAGATAAGATTTGGCTTAAGTTTCAGTCGCCTATCAGGTGGTTTATTCATGTGTGCATGTGTAGGTGCGTGTGTTTGAGACTGCATGTGCCTACACGGAGGCCAGAAGACCAGAAGAGGCGTCTTCTATCATTCCCCACCTTATTGCAGTGAGACAGGGACTGTCACTAAACCTAGAGTTTCCTGTTTCATCATCATCATTATCATTATTGAGATAAGGTTTTTCTATGTAACCCTGGCTGTCCTGCAACTTGCTATGCTGACCAGATTGGCCTTGAATTCACAGAGACCCACCTGTCTCTGCCTACCAAGAGTTAGGATTAAAGGTATGCACCACCATACCTGGATTAAAATTAACTTAATTTTGAAAAAGTCATATCTCGGTTGGAGAAATGGCTCAGCATTAAGAGTGGTTCCTGTTCTTCCAGAGGGCCCATGTTTCATTCCAGCATCTGCGTGGAGGTAGTAGCTTCAGTTCCAGGATCTGCTGCCCTTCTCTAGCCCCTGAGAACACCAGTCATGCACATGGTATACATTCACACACGCAGGCAAAACATCCAGACACATAAAAAACAAAATAAGAAAAATTAAAGTAACCTTTAAAAAAAAAAAAAAAAGCAAAAGCCGTGCCCATTAAAAGTGTGATACCGTTGGCTTGTGTTGAAATGAGAATTTTAATTTTTTTTGCATTTACAGATGGACACACGCTGGATTCAAAAAGATTCGCCATCATTGGAGCAGATCTCCGAGACCTTTCTGAACTGGAAGAGAAGCTAAAGAAATGTAACATGAATACACAGTGAGATTTTTTCTTAACCCTTACGTGATTGTGATTTCCTGAGAGTCTGGGATGCAGTTGGTAGTACAGCTCCACACTTGCCTCCCGTCTTTGTGCTGAATTGTGTCGTTGCTTCTTGGTGCAGTTTTTTGTGATTTTTTTTTTTAAGATTTCTTTATTTTATTATGTATACAATGTTCTGCCTGCATGTACACCCGAACGCCAGAAGAGGGCACCAGATCACATTATAGATGGTTGTGAGCCACCATGTGGTTGCTGGGAATTGAACTCAGGACCTCTGGAAGAGCAAGCAGTGCTCTTAACCTCTGAGCCATCTCTCCAGCCCCCGTTTTTTGAGATTTCTAAGGAGTCATTTTCTTAGGTCATCCTTTCACCAGTGAGTCCTTTTAAAAATGCTGGCCCTGATATAATAAACTAAGGCGAGAGAGTCTGAAACAATATGTAAAGAAGGAGCTAGTGTCTCGAATACCTAGAGACCAACACTCATGAAGAGAGACCAGCGTAAATGGCCAAAGATAGGTGGATAGTGAATGTGATGGAATGTCAGGATGTATGATGTATGCCTGCCACAGGAGGCTATCAAGCCACGGTAGCCATCAGATGAAATTCTGCCATTCGCCCACTAAGGTGTCAAGAATGTGTAAATCTGACTGTACATGGTGTTGGTAAGGACGTGGGTGGTCGGGAGTAGGCTTTAGTGGCTCACTAAGAGGGGGTGAACTGGCTGCAGGCCATGGTGAAGAGCAATGGGAAGCAGCTAGCAGAATTGTTATGTGTGATATAAAAGTTCCACATTGGATGTGTGTTCCAGAGAAGGTGCTTCATGCTTAAGGTGGGTGCTCACTGCAGCAAGCAGGATAGTAGAAAACTGGACAGGCCCTCTAGAAGGAGACAGGATGAACAAAACATGAAGTGCATGACTCAAATCAACATGGAGAGAACTCAAAATGTAGTGATGAGTTAAAAATCAAGTTGTGGAATACTTACCGTCATCGTGAGACCACATGTGTAAAGCTCATACCTCCGGATCCCTGTGCTTTCATTTCGCTTACATTGCAGAAGTGGCTTTTAAGTGAAAAGAAGGGTCCTCCACACTGAGAGTGTCCTCTGTGGAGAAGAGGGTAGTGATGTATGGCTTTAGAACTATGCTGTGGGTCAAAATCAGACTAGAGTTCAACATGCAGTAAGAGACGCCGCACAGATGAAGGTGACATTGGGGTGAATATTTGAAGTTAGTAGCAGGAGCACACTTGAATGGAAGATGTGGTGAAGGGAATGTTGCTTAGAAGAATAAACCAAGGCACAGCATCTTCTGCAGAAGGTTAAAGAAATGAGCATCTGGGGAAGTAAATGCTAGGAGAAGTGTGTTGGGGACAGTGGTGGGACGATGCAGAGCCCGTGCTGAGCTTAGCTGTCACTGGGGCAGGAGAAGATCCCCCGTTCTTCTGAGTGAGGTGAGAGGAGGGAGGAATGGTATGAAACATGGAGCTCTGGGCGATGGATGGAGAAAAACGGCAGCATGTCTCCGTGCCTTTCTAACTCATCTGCCGTTGATGTGTGAGCAGGTGTCTCTTCTCCATTATGCAACCTCCTGTCAGCAGCAGCGTTATCCTCAGTGGGGCTTGTAGGCCCACGTCCCATGCGAGAGATGGCTCTGATGGCCTCGTGCCATCATGGGGTCATTGTCTCACTGAGTACTCAGAGAGCACTGTTGGTTCCAGGCCATGGAGGAGGTGGAACCTTTAGGAGGGGGAGCTTGGTAGGAAGTTACCTTGAGAGCGTGTCCCTGAAGGATGTTGGTGCCACAGCCAGTCCCTCTCTCGGTTCCCATTGTGAAATGTACCCTGTTCTCCCATGTGGAGCCTGGCTGTGGGCTCAAAGCAACAGGGCCAGCCCATCGTGGATGGAAAACTAATACTGGGTGCCAAAGTAAACCTTTGTCTTTATGAGCTGGCTCTCAGGTATGCGCTACAGGATGGAGAGAAAACTGACTAGAAAACGCCGAGCGCACATCTGGGTTTCTTACGGCTTTTTCACTCCACAGCTCTGATTAGCATGTAGTTTATTCTCCCTTTGGTGGAATGTATGTATTGCTATCCAAGGACGCTGGTTTTCTTAGGCGTGTGCTTTGAGAGCTTGTTAGTGAGAGTCACCGGGGGACTAACTGAATCGGATGCTCCTCAGTAACCACGGCACTCTCTTCATCTGGAGTTTTAGCATCTGACTCTGAGCATGATGCTAACTGTTGCATGAACTAGTTATTTGACAGTGGTCATTTAAAATTGTTTTAATATTTATGTGGTACTTATTTTTTTTCTGCATTATGGTATGGGAAAATGCTGTCTCACCGGATGGGTCTGAAGATTTGATGAAGAAATGCACCTGAGGGTAGGAGAACAGGAAGGAGTGTCTACTAGTCACTTATGGAGCAAGTCACATCTCAGTCTAACTTCGGCTATAGGGACCTGCAATTTCTCTAGTGACATGACAGAACAGGAAGGCAATCAGCTATAAGTGGGGCAAGATGTTGATGGGGAAATTGGCCTCACTTTTGGAATACCAAAGATGAAGAGCAGTTGTTATAACAAATACTAGAATTATGCCTGACTTCTCAGGTGTCTTCCTTATATTCAGTGCTTTCCTTTCAGTTATGTTTTGAAAAGTAGTGATCCTAAACCGAGTGTCATGGCTATGCGGGTAATCCCAGTATTTGGGAGACTGAGGCAGGTAAATCACCGTGGATTCAAGTACAGATGGGACTACATATCACATAGTGAGATCCTGCCTTAGAAAAAAAAAAGTCAGCTGCAGGAAGGTGGCTCAGTCAATAAAGTGCTTGCCTCACATGAGGACTGAGTTCATAAAGGGGCTGGAGAGACGGCTCGGTGGTTGAGAGTACTGACCTTCTAGAGGACCCAGGTTCAGTTCCCAGCACCCGTACAGCAGCTCACAACTATGTGTAACTCCAGTTCCAGGGGATCCAACAACCTCACACAGACATACATATAGGCAAAACACCAATACACATAAAATAAAAATAAATAAATTGGGCTGGAAAGATGGCTCAGTGGTTAAGAGCAGTGGCTGCTCTTCCAGAGGACCCAGGTTTAGTTCCAGTGAGCGACGGATGTGCATCTTAGCCAAGTGAAGGTAGAGACCATTTCAGTGTTTAGAAAACCAAAGTAGAATCCAGGGGAGCACAAGGGCTGGCTGGTACTGTCAGGGCTGTGCTGGACTGTGTGGACACCGTTTCTTCTCTCACTGATGGCAGTTACGAGCATAGAAGCCATGTCCAGTTATATAGATATATAGTTATCTATATAGTTATATAGATTATATAGCAGCAGTGTGCACTGGGATGTCACTGTGAGTGGCTCATCTCTCTTCTGTATTTCTATGGTTTTCTCTTTCAAGTCTTGGAATAATATCAGAACCCAGCAAGCCATGCTACAAGTTTATGTCAGTGATAACTGGTTTTTACAAATCTGAGAAATGGGACTGGGATATAACCAAAATGATAGAGTACTTGCCTGTAATGCACATGGCTCTAGTTTTAATTCTTAGTAGTGAAAAAAAAAAAAGTGAGAAATAGCTAGGTATAGTGATGTATGCCTGTTACACCAGCCTTAGGCTGGAGAATCATGAGCTCATCGCCAGCCAGGTCTTCAAAGTGAGGCCCTTTCGCAAAACACAAACAGAAAAATCTGAACAGCTTTTACATTTCTATAATTTTAGTTGTTGCTGATGGTTCTTAGAGAAGTTTCAAATAACTTCTAAATTTGCATAGAAATTGTTACAGTTTTTGTAATAATCTCTATGGTTTTTTTTTATCAGTATCTTATTTTTTACCATCTGATTTCATGTAACTTATTTGTGTCACAGTCTAAAATTAAAGACAAAAGAAAGCCACTTAATTTTGGAGAAATAACCAGTCATGGTAATCTTATTACTTAGGGTGAAGGGAAGGAATGAAGTCCTAGCAAAGGAGCCTGAGAAGGAATGTAAATGGACTAACAAAAAAACCAGTGGAGATGTTGTAAAAACACAGGGAGCATGTTGGCAGTGTGATGATGTGGTCCACTCTAATCAAGTCGCCTAGACCACCCTGTTAAGGCTTACAGCATGTTCCAGAAGAAGGCTAGGAAGTGTGTAAGAGCCAGGAGATAGGGTAAAGGGCAGGACGTGTCAAACAACAACCCGAGAGAGCTGGCACAGCCATTGCAATCATTAATTCATATCAGCTGGTTTCCTACACTGGCCCACAGAAGACTACCACGTCAGGTCAAGGAAGGAGGAGGGGAGGCTCATGGAGCCCTACCATTTACCCTAAACATCTGGCTATTGATAGATTTGGAAAAGAAATGATTGTTGTTTACAGTTGTAGACCTGCTGTTGAGTGCATCAGGCCCCAACAGATAGGTCCAAAACCGTGGTCACACAGATGGCCTAGAGAATTTTGGTGGATGGGTGGATCACAAAACAAAACGAATAAACATGAATGTGAAAGAGAGATTTGTTGGAAGTGGGGGAGGGGAAACAAGTGGTGACAGGGATTGAGAGTGGCCAGTATGCAAGTCATGCATGTGTGAAATTGTAAAAACTATGTTATAAAAATTATACCTTCTGGATAATTCTATAAGGATGTATTGTTTTTCCTGTTCCATCGTGTATTGTTACTTTGTGTCTGGTAGATCAATGCATACTAATAATGGAATTTCTCGAAGAATATAACCATTCACAGCGACACTGCTTTCAGCTTTTAAAATTAATTATTTTTCTAGTTGGTGCTGGGGGTAGAACCTAAGGTCTGATACATGCTAGGCAAGCCCTGAACCACTGAATTATACTTCAAATCTTTGTTTTTCAGCTCTTTGTGGCAAACCTTCACTTAGGAGGGATTAGATTCTGTTAAGTGAATATTAGGAATTTCTGCATATCTCAGCTTAGTGGTTTGAAACAGCTCACTAAGGATCCTTGAGCTGACGGTGGGGGCTGGGCTTAACTGGGTGGTTCTTTCTTGGGGCCAGGTATGTTGATAGCTCCAAGGGTCCGCTTGAGTGACCAGCAGATGGGCCAGCTGGCATCTGTCAGCACAGATGCTTCATTTTCTTGCCGTCACCTGGCTACCTGGAGTCCATTTGTTTTCTGTCAGGATCCCATTGTAGTGTGGGTGATTGACACGCTCTGTGCTTGTTGCTGCGCTTTGGCCGGAACAAGGGCCTAAGCAGGGTGGGAGCATAAACTGCTGTGATGGGAGAATGTTCAGGGTTCTGTTGTCCTGGACAGTTGGTCCACAGCAGCAGCAGATCTGTCTCCTCTTCTGCAGTCCATCCACATATGACCTCATTTTCTTAAGACAGACAGACGGACCTCAGCTACTTGCTCTCCTTTCTGTGGTTGTCTCTTGACATTTGTACTAAACATTGATCACACAGTGCTTGCCGGGTCTGGATTTCTTGAGTATGAACTGCCAATGGTGCGATGTTTATACAGGTTGATGTGTCGATGATGAAAACGTATTTACCCCCTTTCCTTTTTCCTTAAGATTACCAACACTCCTGATAGCTGAATGTGTGCTGGTTTACATGACTCCAGAGCAGTCGGCCAACCTCCTAAAGTGGGCATCCAGCAGTTTTGACACAGCCATGTTCATAAACTACGAGCAGGTAAGCGTTTCCTGAGAGGTGTTCTCTACATGCGCTTTCAGAGTGTCTTTGCCTCTGTCTTCCCTTGCTCAGTTCCTTCCGTCTGCAGCCACACGTCTGCTTCATCAGCCTGCTCTAGCAGCCCTTCTCCTGCTTTCTTGACTTCCCACGAGCTATTAGCAGAGATTTCAGAACTTGATTCTTGGGGAAAGTCTTCAAATTTTTATTTTATCACATATTATCAACAGAGCCACAGAACATGGATGGAGTAATTTTGGCTATGTCAGAAAGAAGAGAAAACTCTGAGGTGCTTAGGTAGGCAGGGATATGAAGGAAGTCGTGGACTATGTGAGTGGTATGGAGGATGGGCACTGAGGGACTTGAAGCTGCCAGGTTGTTTGGAGGGTATGACCTGAGAGCCTGGAGAGGCTACTTGAATGATGTGTAGGTTGGGAACTGAGGGGCCTGGAGCAGCCACTCCTTCAGAAACTCCAGCCGGGAATACCATGTGGGCATTTGTCCTAGTGTTGCAAGAGCTCCTAATTTTGTAAGAGAACTGTGATATACAGGATTATAAGTATAAAATGCCCTCTTCCTATGATCACTGAGATTGGTCTAATGGCTTCAGAAAAAGCCCTTTTGATGCTTGAGAATCCAGCTTGAGTCTGAATCCTGTGTAATGAAGACAAATTGCCTACAGTCTTTGTGCCTCTGTTTCATTGCCTGAAAATAGTAACACCCCTGCTCCCTAGTGTGTTGTGAGGCACACAGAGCTGGTGTGTGCATTTCCACCTGGGCTACTGCCCCCTGTTCAGCAAGTGTGGACTGCTGAGATTCTTCTGAGGTCTAGTTATTTACTGCTGGTGATGTGGAGTGATTATATCCCCATATCTGTTGTAGAAAGGGCTATTAGATTTGAGGGCTTCTGTACCCTGGCTAGTTCCCAAATAATCAAGACAGAGACTTCTTGGATTTATAAAAACTTTAAAGCACAGTAACTGGGCAGGTATCAACCCTCTAAGCTTTGTTGCTATTTCCCAGCTACATACCTCATATTACTTGCCTTAATCATTCCTGTCTGGGCTGCTTCTGTTTATCAGACCAGCCCTCATGGCCATGTGCTGATGGTCCATACAGCCACATGGCAATTCACTTCTCTCTGTTCTTCTCCTTCCCAACCTCATGGTACCTTTCAGACCCCCAAGCCTGGGAACCTAAGCTTCGCCCAACTCTCTCTGCCCAGTCACAGGCTTCAGCAACTTTATTAACCAATCAGCTTTAAATTAGGTAGAGCAAAGTTTACACAAAGACAGGCATGCATGATGATGTGCTCACCACAGATCTTGGAGGCCAGTAATTAGCATTAGAATACATAGCACAGACCGACCCCCAACACATGTGCGCCATGTGGTGGCCTCTGTTGCTCTCGGCCTTGTTCTCTTGAGATGGGCGTCTCTAATTGAACTTGGAGCTCGCACTGTTTTGGCTAGGCTGAATGGCCAGCATAGCCCCAGTGATCCTCTGTCTCCAGCCCCCCCCCCCCTACCCCCAGCACTGCGCTACACTTGCATGTGGCCCTATGGCTTTTTATTTGGGCACTGAGCGTCTGAACTCAGATCCTCAGGTTTGTGTAGCAAACTCTTACCCACGGAGCCACCTCCCTAGCCACAATCCTTTGTTGTTGAGCACTTCCCTTATAGAAATTCATGAGCTGTTACACTGCAGTAGGCAAATAACAAGCAGAATGCATGCTAGCTGTTTTTATTATTTACTTAGTTGGTTTTGTTTTTTTTTTTTTTGTTTTTTTTTTTTGAGAGAGAGTTTCACTGTGTACCCTGGCTAGCCAAAAACTTGTGTAGACCAGGCTGGCTTCATACTTGGGTAATCATTTGCCTCTTCTATACTCCCTGTCCAGAGCATTTATCTAGCATACTCTGGGAGACAGTGGGTTGGTTCTGACTCAAGGACTTTCACTCAGAAGCAAGTCTGGGACTGTGCCAGACTCCATTGCTCTGCCCCAGCTGTCCCTCACCTGGTTCAGCTCCCACCATCTGCACCTTGTCAGTAGAAATTTAACTTAAATCAACAGATCTCCACCAACAGCAACCTCACAGTGCAGGTTAGCTACCTGGGTGCTTCTCCCAGTTAATTGTGTACAGTGACAAAGCCACATTAATAACTGAGTGATGGCAGCACACACTTAGCTTGGTTGGTGTGAGTACTGCCCCAGCAGAGCTAAGTCACCCAGCTTCTCCAGGGTCACAGCTATTGCCAAGCCAGGATTCAACATCAGCTCTTCATCATTCAACAAAATGATGAAGCGTGTGCTCTCAGACCTTCTGTCCTGAGGCACATGAGAGAGAGAGTGTGAGAGAGAACATTGCTGCCCAGCTGGCTCGGGGGTGGATCTTACTGGTCAAGTGATGCCTTTTGTTCCCTTGTATGTGACAAAGGACTGGTGTACATGCTGTGACAGTATACAGTGGCATCATGCCTTCCAGCACTTGTGCATTTACATAAGTCTATTGAACGTGACAGAGGACTGGTGTGCATACTTTGACAGTGGCGTGGGAACACTGTAAATTCTGCCTTTCAGGAGGCCAAGGCAGGAGGAACACCCGTTTAAGGCCCACTTGGGCAAGAGGCAGTCTCAGACATGTAAGAATGGTCTTATCAAAACAAGCAGATCTCTCTCTAACCCTAGAGCTTAGTTGTCTGCCAGGAAACAGCACTGCCTGCTGTGTTTTCCGTTTGTAAATGCATTAAAGATAGGTTAGTTTGCCTCTTGAAAGCGCATGGGAACATTCTGTTCACATTTCTCTGTGCCTTGCTTCTTCCTAAAAATCTTTTTTTAACATTTGTTTATTTACTTATTTGTTTAGTGTTTACTTACATTTATTTATTGTATATGTTTGTCCATATAGGTGGGCACACCATTGTCATGGTGTGTGTGTGTGTGTGTGTGTGTGTGTGTGTGTGTGTGTAAGTATAAGTCAGAAGACAACCTGTGGCAGTTGATCCTCTTCTACCATGTGGGTCCTGGGGATTGAACTCAGGTAGTTAGGTGTGGTAGTCTTGGCAACAAATGAATTTATCTTAAAGTTATTCTGTGCCTGTATCTCTCTGTTTTGTTTTTTGTTTTTGCAGGGGGAGGGATTGTTTGGTTATTTGGTTGGGTGGTTTTTGTGTGCTTCCACAGCTGTATACTATGTCATTTTATGAAGGTAATAGAATTAATCAAACAATAGGTGTTTCTTTCCATATTCTTCCAGTTACAGATACCATTGCATCTTTTTGTTTGTTTGGTTTTTTTTTTCAAATTAATTTTTTTATTAATTACAAAGTATTCATTTTGTATTCCAGCTGTAGCCCCTTCCCTCATCCCCTCCCAATCCCACCACCCTTTTTTCTTCTCCTCCCATGCCTCTCCCCCAGTCCACTGATAGGGGAGGTTCTCCTCTCCTTCCCTCTGACCCTATCAGGTCTCATCAGGACTGGCTGCATTGTCGTTCTCTGTGACCTGGTAAGGCTGTTCCTCCCTCAGGGGGAGGTGATCAAAAAGCCATCCACTGAGTTGTTTGGTCTTTTTGAGACAGGGTTTCTCTGCGTAGCCTTTGCTGTTCTGGACTCACTTTGTAGACCGGGCTGGCCTGGAACCCATAATAATCTGCCTGCTCCTGCCTTCCTGAGCGGTGGGATTAAAGGCATAGGCTACCATACCTGGCTAACATTGTATCTTTGTACATATATTTGAGCCTCTCTGCCAGCAATGGGATTGCTGTACTAGGTGGGCATTTTAGGGGGTCTGTACTGCCCTTTGTTGGGGGTCCACCAGCTCAATTTTGTGTCACACAACCCTCCTGAGCTTCTCCCATGTGTTTTACCAAATGTCAGCCTTGACAGGATATTGTGTTTTGCTTATTTAGGACACAGACGTTTAAGGTTGTGGCTAACCAGCTTTTTCCCTTCTCAGGTCAACATGGATGACCGGTTTGGGCAGATCATGATTGAAAACCTCCGGAGGCGACAGTGTGACCTGGCAGGAGTAGAAACCTGCAAGTCGCTCGAGTCACAGGTCAGAGCAAATCCTGGGCATTTGTTCATTCCCTTAGCCAGCAAAGCAGGGCACACTGTGGCAGAAGCACCATGAGAGGCCCGGGTATGCCTGTGACTCAGGCAGAGAGGGCTCCTTAGGGCGGAAAAATTCAAGTCCTACCTGTCTCCTTGATACAGAAAACACAAATTTGTGTTCCCTACAGCTCATTCCTTTCATTATGCAGAACTTTTGCACAGTTTATTTTGTGTGATACAAAATTTCAGACAAGCATAAAAGTAGAAAGACCCATATCCTATCAGCCAGCTTCGATAATTATCAGTCTTTGCCAGTATTGTCTCATAGTCTCCCCGACAATTATTTGTTGTCAGAGTATTTTTAGGCATACACTGGACAATACATGGTTTCAGCCTACATGCTTATTAAAGAACCTCCTAGTGTGAACTTCCTTCCAGGGTAATGTTACTGTGATCACGGGCCACAAGTCAACAGTAGCTCCGTCATGGGTCTGACTCTCAGAGCCTCTTCTGTTTTTCCTAAGAGCATGCTTTATAGTTAGTGTATTTAATTTGGCATCTATCCATGATCTACACTTCATAGGTGATTAACATATCTTTTGTATCTCTTTTAATCTGTAGTAGTCCCTTAAAAAAAAAAGTAAAGAAGTCATTTATTTGCTGGAGATAACCTCCCATACCTGTCACTATTTAAATAAACGTTCTCACATGACGACTAAGTGACATGTTGCCTGAGCTGAGTGTCATAGCTCAGACCTGTAATCCTACCACGTGGTAGATTGAGGCAGAAAGGTCACATGGTTGAGACCAGCCTAGTCTAGCAAGCTCCAAAACAGCCTGGACTACCAGCCAGCCACTCAGCCCACCAGACAAATAACTGTTATCCATGGAAGAGTTTTTCTTTTTTGCCTGTACGCTCTAGTAGGTGTTCCCAAGAAAGCCTTGCATGCTCATACAGAAAATGGCAAACTGAGAAGGAAGATAAAAGGAACTACTACGGGCCTCAGAAATCGTGCGTGTCCTAGGGCCTCAGGCTTACACGCTGGTCTTTGAATCCTCCACGTTTCCGTGCCCCCTTCCAGAAGGAACGACTACTGTTAAATGGGTGGGAGACGGCGTGCGCAGTGAACATGATGGAGCTGTACAGCGGGCTGCCGAGGGCGGAGGTGAGCAGGTACGTAAGCGCCGGGCCCAGTCTCCAAACGAGGGAGTCAAAGGCCCATGTCTGTGATCTTTAGTGTGAGCACAACGCTAACTCTAACCAGACTTTGAAATCAGGTAAACACCGGTAAAAAGCTTGAGAGAGTAACTCATTAGCCAGTGGCTGAGATAAGAGTTGTTGGCAAAGCAGATGATTTGAGCCTAAATAAGCAGTTACACCCGGAAAATTCCCAGAGCCACCTCTGTGGTGGAAACTTTGTGTAATCCCTGTCTCGGAGAGGAGCTGATGTTGCCCATGACTTCAAAGGGAGGTCATCTTTAAATGACATCCCTTGATGGACTCAGACGACATCTTCAAATGGACCCTTTGTTATGAAAGAAAGATCTATTCATTGTTCTAAAATTATTTCATGCCAAGGGCATGAAGTCTTGCGCAGTCACACCGTGCAGTTAGCTCTCATTAACAAGTTGGACCTAATTCGCCAACCATCTCTCTACACATATTTATTGATATATAGACTTCTGGCTTTTAAATCAGTCCATCATACTATACACAGTGGTTGCAGAAGTCATACTTCCTTTCGAAAGCTTAACGGATCGTAATTTATATTCATAATATCAAAATATCGAGGCCTCCATATCGAGTTTACGTGTACTTACACACATGTGCTTATGTAAACAGAATGTGGACGCCTCAATATTTTGATATTTTGATGTGCTTGCAAAGCAACGTAGATAAGACTAACTGGTACTGTGGTAGTCTTAAAAGAAATTTAAAAATGGCCAGATGTGGATGTTTAGTATGGGCTGCATTTCCTTTGTTTCAGTGTCTCTGTTAAGACAGAGAGGGAATGTCCCTGTGCATGCAGGCGTCTGTGTTGGTGCCTGCTTGGCTCATTTCTGCGTCATTCTGTCCTCCCTCATCTGTCCCTTCCTCTTTCCTTTGGAGACCTTAAGGTACAGTTTGGGGTCTATTACAAGACCATGTGAAGAACTTTTGACCTTCCTTTTCCTTAGACCTTACTGACATTTAGAAAAGTATCACTTTTTTTTTTTTCTCTTGTGTCCAAGATTGAGTCATCTAGGCAGTGAATGGTTTAAGAGTACAGTCTTGCTGGATGGTCCTGGCACACCACTACCACTCAGGAGGCAGAGGCAGGTGGATCTCTGTGAGTTCAAAGCCAGCTGGTCTATAGAGTGAATTCCAGGACAGTCAAGGCTACACAGAGAAACGTGTCTCAAAAACAAAGCAAACAAACAAACAAAGAGAGTATAGTCTTGTATGCTGGTACTTTCTGGATTCTTGTGGAAGCTTCTTTTTTGTAAGACTGCCTTCCACTTGATACGTGTCAAGGTGATATTTTGAACATCTCTGGTCTGGCATGTATAATGTTTTGCTCTGGCAAATTTACTCTAGACAGCCAGGTAGGAATCTGTAAGGAGCATTAGCCATAGGGGAAGAAACTCTCTTGGGCAGTCTTTTGTCTCATGCAGCCATGGCCTCTTGCATACAGCACATGTAATCCTAACAGAGACCAGGTGTGACAGAGAGGTGAATTTTGCTCTGCCTACCCCAGACAGGCCTTCCAACTCTGGATGTCACCTGGGTTTTGTCTGCACAAGGGATTCAAGATCAGAACAGGCCCCAATATGTTTGTTCTTGTGAACTTGAGTGCTAGTGAATAGCTTTATGCTTTGTACTGTGTCCTCTTAGTGATGCTAGGTAGTCACCATTCTGGAGGCTTCCTTAAGGCTCTGTGTTTTCTTCTTTGGAACTTTATTGGGTAATATGCCTTGGATGTTTTGTTAGTTAGCCTCCATTACTCTGACACATCTGAAACCAACTTAGAAGAGGGCTGTTTTGCTTCACGGTGTGGAGATTCATTCCGTGGTAGCTGGCCATTACTTCGGGGACTGTGTTAATGCGCATAGCAGAGCACACTGTCCTCTCATGGCCAGGAGCCAGAGGAGATGATAGGCAGCTAATGTGAACGGGGTACCCAGTGCTATGGGAAAGTCTTCAAAAGAAGTTTGCATTTGTATCTGTATGCTCTGGGGCTACGATGTCTGGGATAGACCTGCAGACTGAGACGCGCTTTGAGGTGTCCTTCAACACACTTTGTTTTTTTACTCAGATCTAGTAACTGTACCTTGGACCAAGCTGTCCTGACTCTGTTTCTATCCACTGGCTATCTTTTTTGGTTGTTGTTGTTTTGCTATGTGTTTTGGTGTTAGTTACTTTTCTGTTGCTGTGACAAAACACTCAAACCAAAAGCAACTTGGAGAGAAAAGAATTCATTTGGCTTACACTTCCAAGTTGTAATGCAACCTTGAAGGAAGTCAAAGCAGGAACGCAAGACTGGAACTGAATTCAGCTGGGAACTAAATTCAGATGTCCTCTGGAGTGCAGAGAACTGGACTCAGGTTCTCTGGGAGAGCAGGAAGCAGTCTTATCTGCTGAGCATCTTTCCAGCACTGGGCTGCATTCTTTTCTAGTCTTTCCACTCCACTGCTGTTGGCTTCTGGGTCTCGCTGTAAACAGTCCTGCTGCTGCGTGTCATGTGCTCTGCTGAGGTGAAGGCTCCTCCTCCAGATAAACTGGTCCATCATTGTTCATCTCAGCCCCACACAAAGTCTCTGGCATGGACAAGGTGCGATCAGTTTGTCACAGTGTGGCAAGGGTGGCCTCATGTCCAGTTTCCAGATCAGTTTTCTTTCCACCATAAACTTAGCTGGCATTGCCAATTGTCTGTGTTTTTATCAGCATCCCAGCTTTGCTCTGGCCTGCCTCCCTCTACTTGCCATACCCCTCCAGCAACCATCTCCTAAGGCTGTCCAGTAATGAGGTCTGTGGTGGCAAAACCTGTCTTCCTCCCTGTGCCAGTTTTCTACTCTACTTGGCTTTCTCTTACTATAACACCTACTTGAGACGATCCTGTAGAAAGTGAAAATATTTGTTTTTACTCAGAGTTTTGGAGGCATCCAGCCTGTGACTTGTTGGCCCGACTGCTTTTGAACTATTGTGAGTTCACATGACAGGGGCATATTAGAACAAAAGTCACATAACACATAACCTTGAAGCAAAAGGAAGGATGAAGAAGGGACTAGACTCTCACAGTTCTGTTGGACTGTGAGAGTCCAACATTTTTCCTGCTAGGTTCCACTCTTAAAGGCTCCACCACCTCTCGCTAGCACCACTCTGGGAGCCACTCCTTTAATACATGGCCCTTAGGGCCGTTACTCAAACCATGTTAGATGCCTTTAAGTAAGAGTAGTTGGGAAGCAGCCACAGTACATTGCAGAGAGTCATTCTCCTTCCAGATGCGGTCCTTAGGCTCACAGGCTGAGATAGGAATGCGCACACAGCTACAGAAACCCGCACATGCATGTGCACACATGCAAATGCACACAGACTGGCACTGCCCCGAGGAGATTGCCAGCAGAGGCTATTGCAAATAGTGGCGACGTGGATCTCTTCATTCTAATACTCTTCAGTTGTGCCTCAGTTCCCTTCACAATGTGAACATATTCCAGTGGAGAGAGTATTGCTATTTTGTTTGTACATATTTCTGTATATATTCATTTATACTTAAAATGCCCTCTTGATAAAGTCATACCATGTACCTGATTTTTCAAATAACAAAGTACTACAGAGTAAAAACCAAAGGAAAACCTTCTCACCCACTGCCTGTTTGTTTACTCCCTACCTCTTGAGACAATTTACTTTTCTAGTTTTATTTGTATTTCCCCCAAATCATCTGTGTCCCCCAAAACATGTGCACCTCTTTCTTTGCACTGATGGTGCTATACTAGCACACATTCCTTGTTAATGTCCGTAAAGCTTCAGGATTTATCTTGGAAGTTAATGCTAATCCATGCAGACCTGCCCTGGTTCGTGTCCTGGCGTAGAGACCTAATGTACGAGCGTGTTTCAGTTCATGCAGATGATCTACTAGAGTTCATTTCTTTCTTGTTACTAAGTTGGTGGTATGGTGCTGTAGGGATGCCCTTGGCAATGTGTCTGTGTACACAGGGTAAATTCTTAAGAGGCAAGGTCAGTCGCAGGGTTGGAGGGTGTTGGTGCTCCGTGTTGAAAGAGGCCAAAGTGCCCTCTTGGGAGGCAATCCTGTTTTGTCATCTTACTAGCAAATGGGAGAGTGCCTTTTCTCCTGTGCCCATCTTTCAGTCTTTGTTCTGTCTGAGAGTCGAAAAACTGATGTGCTGGCTAGTTTTATGTCAATTTGGCACAAGCTGAAGTCATCTGAGAGGAGGGAACCTCAACTGAGAAAATGCCTCCGTAAGATCAGGCTATAGGCAAACCTGTAGGGCCTTTTTTAATTAGTAAGCAATGGGAAGAGCCCAGCCCTTTGTGATTGGAGCCGTCCCTGGGCAGCTGGTCCTGGGTTCTATAAGAAAGCAGGCCGAGAATGCCGTGAGGAGCAAGCCAGTAAGCAGCATCCCTCCATTGCCTCTGCATCAGCTCCTGCCTTCAGGTTCCCACCCTGCTTGAGTTCCTGTCCTGACTTCTTTCATGATGAACAGTGATATGGAAGTGTAAGCCAAATAAACCCTTTCTTCCCCAGCTTGCTTTGATCATGGTGTTTCATCATAGCAATATATTCCTAAGACAATGATCCTGTGTTTTCATTTTTTTCATAAATGAGTTGGAAAACCTTGGTTTTTTCTGTTCTATCAGACTGATCTTTTCTTTGTCTCTAAGTTAGTGTAAAAGTTATAGCTCTTTATAGGGCAAAGAAATTGGTCCTTTGCCATTAGTACCTCAGATACCCTTCTGATTGGTTTGTTTTGACATTTGGGGTAGGAAACCCTTCCTCCTCCTTTTCCTTTGTCTCCTCCCACCCATGATCTCCCATTCCTCCTTTCTTCAAGACCTTGTATGTTCTAAGTGTGTGCTGTTCTGAGCTAACTTCCAGCTCTTTTTCTTTCTGAATTTTTACTTATTTTAATTTCATGGGTGTAAGTGTTTTGCCTGCATATGTGTGCACTTGCAGTGTGTGCCTGATGCCCTTAGAGGCCAGAAGAGGGCACCAGATCCACTGGAACTGGAGTTAAGGATAGTTGTGAGGCTCTGTGTGGGTGGGTACTGAAAATTGAACCTGGATCCCCTGAAAGAGCAGCAAGTGCCTTCACCTCCATGTTTCCGGCACCTCCCTTCCTCCACAATGTGTATTCCATTTTATATCCGTCTCCTTTCCACGTGATGTCTTGAATATGTCATCCCTGCGGCTCAGCACCCTCCTTTCTAACTCTGTGATATACATCTCCTGCTTTGATCTTTGCACAGAATAGAATCCCTTGAGTTCCTGGATGAAATGGAGCTTCTGGAGCAGCTCATGCGGCATTACTGCCTGTGTTGGGCCACCCGAGGCGGACAGGAGCTAGGTAAGAGGCTGCGCCTCTCTCACTTGGGCCTGGAGTCAGGACAGCCTTCTTCTCCGGAAATGAAAGGCACACCTGGAAGTTCAGGTTCAGAGAGCTAGAGAAACATGTATGCATACCCACCATGTGTCCAGAGAAGTCATGGTTCCTTTTTCAGGTTTTCAAAGCACAGACTTACAGGGTTACTCAGTATTAACACATGGGTCATTTGATTTCTAAAAGAGCCACTCAGCTTCTGGGGCAGTTTCTCCCTCCTCTCTAGGGTTGGGGTGTGGTTGCCTGACGGAGGCAGGCAAGATGGAGAGCTTAGAGCAGGAACCTTAGCACCTGGCTCTCCAGGTTTGGCTCCGGCCTCTACTGACCCCTCCCACACTTGTTCTGGCTTCCCAGTGGCTGGCTGTTCCTTGAGCAGAACAGCCCAGTGAGAGCACATCAGAGTCCAGGTCTCTGGTGACTTCAGTCTCCCCGAGATATGATTGGAGTGACACCTGAGAGGCATTCCATGGCGGTGCAGCCTTCGTGGGCTCCACGCTTGGGGCCACAAAGTCCTTCCAACTTGGTTTGGATGGAGGTCCCTTTATTGCTGTGTGTTATATTGGAACCTGCCCTAATTACACAGGAAGTTGTAGTTGGAACTTGGGAAAATTGGGGAAGGGAGAGCACAGAAGCTCTACCTGTGGCCTGGTCTCAGGCAGCCTCTGCCAATACCTCCCTCTGCTGTTTTCTAGATGCTGTTATTTATTTATTTAAGTTCCTAAGAGAACAGCTGCCTTTTTTGTTTGGTTGCTTTGAGATGTATAAAACAGCCTGGCCTTGAATTTGGCATGTCTCCTACCTCGGCCTCCCAGAACTACAGGTGTGCCTCGCCTGACTTTATGGATTGCACCCCTGAGCCTCACTCACACATGTGAAAGCAGAGAAACCATGAGGAGGGGTGACCCTGCCAAGCTACTCCTTGCCCTTGTGCTGAGTGCCTCTATCTTCAGTGCAGTTGAATTTACATGTTCATATAAACTCCCGTGTTTATGTGGCTCCTGTGTTTTCTTCAGTTTAGTTGTGTGACATGAGCATTTTCTCTCTTGCTACTGAGCTTCTTGATGAAGCTCACTAAATTCTATCACGAGACTATGTCTGAATGTACTTAACCTTCCCAAGCTTTTGGAACTACAAGTTTCTGATTTTTTTTTAAGTTAACTGTTGTTTATTCAAACAGTAAGTTGAACTATTTAGTTTTCCTTTTTTAATTTTTTTTTTTTTGTGTGTGTGTGTGTGTGTGTGTGTGTGTGTGTGTGTGTGTGTGGTGTGCTTTTGGGAACAGGGTGGTCTCACTGAAGCCCAGGCTGGCCTCAAACTTATGGTCTTCCTGCTTCAGCCTCCCAAGTGCTGGGCTTACAGGTGTACACCACCTCGCCCAGGTTGGTACAATGAACATTTTAATGTCAAAGGCATCTTCGTCGTGTCAGCACACAATGAAGAACCATCTGTGTTTGCTCAAAGTTCAGCAGTCAGTAGGCAGGTTTGCACATTTACTGCACAGAGCCCATAAATTGTTATGAAATGCTTTGTTAATCCACTTTAAGCCACCCATAAACAAAAGCTAGCCTGACTTCTCACTCTCTTCTGAAATGTTGTTTCTTACAGGCAGGGAGCAAGGTCCAGCAGTGGATCATGCTAGAGCCCAGGGCCGGGCAAGCAGCAGAGTCGCGTGCCTCCCTCCTCCCCAGTTCCTTTGCTCTGCCACAGCGTCTGACAGCATCTGCGTTTCTCCCCTTAGGTCTGAAGGAGATAACCTGTTAATCTGTTGAAGGCTCCTGCTGAGGTGGAAGCTGAAGTGTCCAGCCAAGGGAGTGCCCTGGGCATCTGGGGGGACGAGCAGTCTCATCCCAGTCCTTGGTCTTGTCGCACATCCAGAGCCCATGGTTACGAAGACGAACACACCAGACCCTGTTCCTGTCACTTATCATTGTTTAAATAAATCTCACTCGCCATTTGTGTGTGCTGGACCCTGCTGGTGTCCGATGGTATTCTTTGCCTGTGGGGTAGGGTAGGCCAGGGTTCAAATCCATGGCAGCTGAGACGCAGGAGCCTGAGTCTTGTTCAGACATTGGTTTACCTTGTGAGTCAGAAACCATTTGGGAGTCTACTCCTCCCTGTGCTCTTTATTGCAGCACCTCATGCACTCTGACCCTTGACCTGCCACAGATGACAGAGCTCTTCTCTTGGCCAGGCTAGCCTCCTTACTTGCCTCTTTCATTGCAGTTGCCATGGCAGGTTGGATAATGCCTCCTGAAATACCCTGGCTCCTTGGAACCTGTACAGCTTCCGCCATGGTAAATGGGCATTTTTGTCAGTGAGCCTAAGGTAAGGGTCTCAAAATGAGATTGTCAGAGATCATCTGGGACTTCGGTGCAGTCTCTAGGCTCTACAGAAGCCAGACAAGAAGACACAGCCAGACAAGGGGCAGTGACAGAACAGGGATTGTGGCGGGATGGGTTTTGAAGATGGTGGAAAGGGCCAAAAGAAGGAATATAAGCAACCTCTGGAAGCTGAAGTGGCCAGGGCTGGAGAGCGGGCTTGGAGGTTATGGGCACGCTCTGCGGAGGAGCTGCCCATCCCGGCCGGCTCATGACTGACTGCCCGTTACTCTACCTCCGGGGCACCTGCACTCACATGCACGCACTCACACACGGGTGCACACATACATCTATCACTAAAACTCATAAAAATTAAAGCTTTAAAAAGGCCAGAGGCCCTGGAAAGACCCTCCTGCGGAAAACTTGACCTTAGGCTCAAGCTACTGAGGTGTTTTCAGCCGCTGGGATCGTGATCCGCCAGAACAGCAGTAGTGAGACTGAAGAGTCATTATGCTGCAGATTAGGGCTCCACAAGTCACACAGGCCCAGTGCTGCAGCTGCATGAAGAAGAATGGCTGTGGGGAAGCTCTGGCCCGGTCCTCAGCAGGGGTCACAACCCCCCCCCCTCCACAGTTGGGAGCCCTGGGCCCAGCATTCCCTGGAGGCTCAGTTGTGCTCCGCTTGTAGTGTGCCTGTCAGTGGGAGTGGGTGTGCTGTGTGCTGGGACAGCCCAAAGAGAAAGTGAGTCCGCAAAGGAGAGCGCTTTTCCTTTCTGCTCACCTTTCACCCTCAGGAAGGTCTCAGGCTTGTAATGTCTTTTCCTGAGTATTACCTACTAACCCAGTACCTGTGACTGTAGTGGGGAGCTTTGTTTAGTGGAGCAAAACCATGACTTAGTGATAAACGTAAAAGCACAGCAACACTGGTAAATGGGGGCACTGTGTGCGTGTTTGTGGCCTTTTTTCTTTCTTTTTTTTCTGAGACAAGTTCTCGCTATCTGGCCTGTAGCTTGCTATATAGGCCAGGCTGGCTTTGAACTCAGTTCTTCCTACATGCTGAGATTAAAGTTGTCTACCACCATGCAAGACTTTCTTTCTTTCTTTCTTCCTTTTTAATTAAAATGTTTTTAGGGTCATGTATGAGTAGGTGTGGAGGTCAGAGGCCCAATTTTGGAATTTGGTTCCCAGCTTCCAGCGTGTACACGGGGGATCGAATGGGTCATCAGGCTTGGCATGGCAAGAGCTGAATCCTCCAAGTCACCTCGCCAGACTGCCCTTCTCATTTCACATGTGCATGTGTGCTCTTCACGAGCAGAAATTATGTCCTGCTCCCCCTCCCCCACCCACCCACACTGTAGATTGGTGTCAGTATGACAACACCTCCCTGTAGGGTCTACACCCTTGGTCCCATCTCCCTCCCAGGTAGCACCTGAACGGCAAGAGTCTACAATGTTCATTTCGTTTCTTCTTTGCCTTTTGTTTAGTTTCATAGACTATCTTTTCAAAGAGAGTGATGCTCCGTTAGGTTTAGTGTCAGTGCTATGACGTGTCCCTTAAAATACCAACATACTCTTAATGTCAGTGATGTCTCTTCAAATACTAAAATAGAGTACTTGCCTAGCTCACTTTTAAGGCCCTGGGTTCCATGCTAGCACAACAGAAACAAAACAATTTTATTTGAAAAACGGAGTTCATTTGGGGACTGCATAGATGGCTCAGTGGGTTACCTGATTTCTACACAAGCACAAAATCATGAGTTGAAATTCCTCAGACCCATGTAAACACTAGGCATATTGTCTGCTAACTCCAGAATTGGTTGAGTACAGAGACAATGGGACCCCCGGGGCTTGCTGCTAGCCAGCCAGTCTAGCCAAAATAGCCCCGGGTTCAGTGAGAGGTGGAGAATGATAAAATGTATCCAAAATCAACCCTGGGTTCCCCCCAAAGTTCTCATGAACATTGAGATGTGGTTCATTTTCTATACAATTATGGCTAGTCACAACTCGAGAGAAACACTTCTCTCTTCCTGCCAGAATTGTAGCAACTGTCTGAGGCTCCTGGGAGAGATCCGTGTTCATCTCATGCTTAGAGACACGGGTGTCCCTGCTGGCCGAAGGCCTGTTTATGCAAACCACTAACAGCAGAGAAATGAATTCCTGAAGGCGGCAGTTCTGGGAGCCCAGGACAAAGCAGTCCAGTTTTTATGGTGTGGGGCATCTGTATCAAATCAAGGGTGGGGTTTTGAGAAAGTACAGGAATGAAAGCTGCAGAGTAGATGGGACTAAAGGCGGACCCTGAAACCTGAGTATTTCATATGAAATTCCATGGCAATGAATTTGAGGTATTTGGTGGAAATGCAAAGGCCAGATTATTGGAGTGGCCAAGATTCAAATGCTTTCCGAGCCAGCCCAGTGGAAAGGAAGCAGGTTTTGTTCCTCACAGAAAAGTGAGAGCCTGCCTCTTGGCAGGACTTCATCCTGAGTCAGCACCTCCAAGAGTAAGACAGACCAGTCTACACTCCATCTTAAGCCCCCAACATTCCTGTTCTTGGTGCAGGCTTCAATTCCTCCCTGTCCCGTCAAGTCCAAGACCCTAAGTGTCACTCCACCCCACCCCCACATCTCCAATGACACCCTCCCCTGCCTGCAATACTTTCCCTTCCTGGTTTCCTTTCTCCAACCTACCAGGCTGCCTCTAAAGGGACATGACACCTACTGGTTCCTTTCCCAGTCAACATTATTTTATAAAGCACGATTTAAATATCTCCTCTTCACCAAGTGTGAACTTCCACTCTGGTTATGACCTGGCATCCTGTCTGTCACCTTGGCCTTTGCCTGAATGAAGTACCATTTTTGCTTTGGGCCCTGTTCAAATTGTCATGACAGCATATAAAGCTGATTGGCTCCTGTATCTGGGCATATTCCATGTCCTGAGAGAGACAGTGAAACCAGTGGAGATATCAACACATCAACAAAATAACCTGAGTGCTGAGGACACTGACCACCTGAGAATGATATGGTCCTACCTGTAGCTGAATATGCCACTTAGGTGCATCTCAGAAGATATTCTTGGAATTCAGTTGTGGAGGACCCAGGTGCCACCTGCAGTGGCCGCCACAGAGAGTTGCGGGAAGGTTTGTGTCTGGTTCCTGTTGAGTATCACCGAACTTGAAGACCAGCACAAGAATCAGCAAAAGTGTGCCAGCGTTAGCTGAGGCTACCCCAGCGCTACACTGCCAACTCTTGCTGGGCCCCTGGTGAGAAAGGCAGATGGTCAGGGAAGCGGCTCTGCCTGGTCTTCAAACAAGATCTTGCTCAGCTCTGATGCAGAGAAGAGACGTCAGCTCTGGCTGCTGGCAGAGCTTGCTCAACTCCTTGATGGATGATGAAGTTGACAGTGGGAACTGGGGGAGGGGGGAGGGGCTGCAGCTAAGACCCATCCTCTCCAGTGTTCGGCCACCCATTGTTTCCCAACTGTGGAAGAATTTAGGGCAGGAAGGTCTGAAACCTGAGGGTGGGTCATGGCTTCATGGAAAGATGTCCGCATACACGGTGATGGAAGATAGGAGAATCACAAAGCAAGTGAGAGAGGTCCTTGAGGACTCGTTCTCAAGGAAGGAGACCCCAGCACCACTATGTTGAAGGTAGCTTCTATCCCTTGGGGGTACCCGGGGCTGTGGAAGGTGGGATTCACATGAACCAACGGAACAAGAAAAACACTAGCAACCGCTGAAAAAGTGGTTTGCGCTGGGTTTTGCCTTCTCCTCACTTTAGTGATCTGTGTGACGAAGTCAGCCTCATCTGCCAGAGAGCACGCCATGAGAAGCACAGCTGTGCTGTCCCGGATGAAATCCCCCCTACCTGCATCCTAGCCGGACAACGTGACAGCTGACCGCAGATGTGTAAGTGTGCCAGGTGAGGACAGCCTAGCCAGCCCAGGCGAGAAGCTACACCAGTGGACTCAGAATTGTGAGCCAGCCTAGCAGGGTTGCTTTAAGCCACAGAATTGGGGAGAGTGCATTATCCTAAAGAAACTCACTGATGCATGGAGCAGGGAGTGAGGGTAGACTAATTACAGTGATGCTTAATTACTCTAATGCTTACTTGGGGCCAGGTTCTGCTGAGTGTAAAGAGGCAACAAAGGACCCGGGAGGCACTATCACACTCTTACATGCCATCCTTTCTGGGATACCATGAACAAATGAACAGGCCCTGTCTTTAGAAGCTGGAAGAGGCTGCAGTGCAGAGTACTGTGTTCACTGTGGGAGGCCTAGAGGCAGGCGGATCTCTGTGAGTTCGAGGCCAGCCTGGTCTACAAAGTAAGTCCAGGACAGCCAAGACTATACAGGGAAACCCTGTCTTGGAAACAAATAAACAAATAAAACAGTACTGTGTTACAGTTGGAGATGGGCCAGGTAAGGCCCAGGAAATTAAGGAAGTTTCTAATAAGGTTTAACTGTCAGAATGGCCAGGATAGTTATTCCTGGCTGCGTACATGTTTCCTCTGGGAAGCTGCAAGGAAGCCACAAGTGGCCTGTGAAAGCACACACACACCAAAGGGCCATTTGGCACTTGAACGGTCAAAACTGGAAGTGAGGCAATCTTCACTCTCCCTCCACTCCTCTGATTCCAACCCCCCCAAGTCTTACCC